ACCTCTGCGCGCGGCGTTCTTGGTCGCGGTGCGAGTCGGAATTTTTCTTCACGAGCGCGAAAACGCACGTAACTTTTGGCGGCGTCTCGGCTGGGATCTCGCAAATTCGTTTTTCCAACGGTACTCACTCGCAAATTCGCTCAGCGCGGCGCGGCACGGCGCGACACGGCGCCTCGACTCATCGTAATTTAATCACACGCGTTCGCGCGTGTGGCGTACGTGCGCGCACATATGCACGACGTACGTGTCCATACACGCTCCTCTGCCGCGCGGCTTCTCTCTCCTTTCCTCGCGCTCGTTATAGGAAGGTTCCACGGCGCGCGGCCCGACGAGTGTCGGTGGCACCTAGTGCTCGATGCGACGTCGTACAAGGACAAGGCCACATGGTCACGGGCGGCCGGGGCGGACACGTCGTATAGATATATATCGACTACTACTCGTGACTCCCTCCTCCCACTCTCTCTCGCGAGCATCATCATCGCTACTCTATACCACTACTCTGACAACCACCTATACATCTCGGCGTGACTAAACGCGAGCGACCGCGCGCACCACTACCGACGTGAGAGACCAAGGCGCGCACGTCGTTTGACCCTGCGTCGCGGTCTAGTGGATCTTCAGGGTCGCGCGACAATATGGACGAGTGAGATGTCTATCTTGACCCTTTACCCCGCTGAAGATCAAACGATATTCCGCGCGCACCTTCCGCGCGAACTCTTTGATGTACCCTTGGAAGCCGAGTCACTGCGATCGTACACATTGTAATCGAAACGATCGAATCGAGTGTTAACGTCGATCGCGCAGCGAGTATCGTGAGTATCTAACGCGGCGTACCTAAAGTAAATTTTCGAATTCCTGTCGAGACTTTCAGCTCGCGTTCCGGAGATGTATACACGAGCGCGCAGCGTTCCTCCGGCGAATTTTGAGCGATTACACGATGTGTAAATGAACGGCAATTATGCGGAAGGAATCTGCGCGCAAAGTCAGCGCCGAACATCAGCGGAAGAATTAGCCGCGAAAAAGGGGATCTTGCGCGCCTGTGTCGGAACGAAGGCTACATTCGATACTCTCGGAGTGCCAACAGAAGCTATGAGAAATTAGACTAAAACATTTCGTCACGCGCAAAGATCGTAAATCAAGCAGAGGTGGCGATATATACATATCATTGACTTATTGCCAAGCCCGTGTGGCGTACTCGAATTTCTAAACATTGTTTATGAGCTTCTTCGCGTCGCGTTCCTAGGAAGATCATTCAGAGTAACCTGGATCACTTCGTGGTATTGCTGTGCGGGAAATACGCCGTGTAACGTTTGAATTTCACGCTGTCGTCATCGCCGCCTGACGTCACTTGCTCATTAGGCACGATTAAAATATATGAATGTTTGTGCGAATAATCGATCGAAGCGGCTTTACTCGCGAGCGAATTTGTCAGCTCGGCTAAACCGGACGCTTGCGTACGCGTCGCGAAGCCGAGTTCGAGTAAAAATAGACCCGGAAATAGCCGATAAAACGCGCGTTTGTAGCCTCGGCCTTATCGCAAGGCCAAGTTTTCGGTAACACGCACGCTTTCCCCCGGTGGAAGAGCTCGACGTGGCGTATTACGTCGCTTTGTCGCGCTGCGAAGTGCAAAGCGATTACAGAGCGTAATCGTCATGTAATGTGTCGACTGTGGATCGCGATTGGATATTAACAGAATGCGATTCGCATGTAAAATTCCAAGTGCGACGGTGAAACATGGAAATATCCCGCGCGATATCAGGCCTGCTCCTTTTAGCCGAGAGCTATACTTTGCTCCTATTCCCTTTGAGGCTACGTTATCTGCTTGTTTCACTATAAAAGCAAAAAGCGCAACATAGTTCAGCTAAGAAGAACAGACCAAGAATTGGCCATAGACTCGTAGAGATGGACTGCAGATTGCGGAGGGCTGGAGTCAGAATTAGTAAAAGAGTAAGATGTTTCTCTCGTCTGATTGGTAGGAAGGACGAAGGTAGAGAAGAGCGGTCTCATGGTCAATGCGTCTTCTCTTCCTTTCATTATGTTTTTCTTCCCGCAGTGCTGTATGACAAAGAAAGCAGCTTATTCAGCAGATCTACGTTCCTTACTCCTGGCATCAGCCGTCTCATAAGAGTGCGCAGTCTATTTCTACTGGTCTGTGCTACTGACATCCGTGACAGGAGCAACCGAGTTGCCGGCGCTCGAATAATCGCCCGATAATTCTTAAAGCGGAGGAGAAAACGAAGTACGTCCGCCGCGAACCTCACGAGACAAGCGTCTCTCGTTGCCCCCTACCAACAGGCTGATTATATGAAACGTCCGTCGACGTATAGGTTTTTGCAATCCTGGCGCAACCCCGTGCGAGAAATTGCAATCTCACCTCGGCTCGCAATGCCAGCCAACGACCTTGGCCTTGCCCGAATAAGACGCGGCCTTGGCGGCCGATCGATGCGACTATCAGCCGGTGCTGCGAGTGCAGCGGGGCGGGGGACTGGATCTGAACTGG